TATATATATATATATACTGTATATGTGTGTGTGTGTGTGTGTGTAATGACTGTATAGAGAGAGATAAATTAATATACATATTAATAATATTAATAACATTAACCAAGATTAATACAACTATTAAGATTAAGATTAAAACTATTGTTCATCATTTCATGGTATTAGCTATCATTAACTAATGTCAGTGAAACATATTCTAAAGTGTTACCCAGTTGTTGTTTTTTGGTAAATGTTATAACGTTTATAATTGAGTACTCTAAAAAATATTGAAATTTTACTACTAGTGATACTAAACACTGTCTGTAATGGATTCACGGAAATAGTAGGCCTACTCATTTTCATTAAATTAAATTAATTTATTTTATTATTATTATTATATTATTATATTTTTTTTTGCAATGGTCTGAGGCACCATGCAGCTTCTTTCCAGACACTCACTTGTCACCATATTTTGTGCTTTTGTTCCCGGTGTACACTTTCTTCGAACATGGTGATTTGCCGATAAAAGAGCGTTTATAAGCCATTAGTCAGGATGTATATTGCCTCGACAACATTTGAGAGGTGAGGAGAGGTGAAAGCACTTACACTCCATGAGGAGATAGACAAGCAAGGGCGCGCTAAAGAGCTATTCTGTTCCTGTTAATCTCAGGTGTAAAAAACCTTGAACCGCATTAGTATTCCTGATGTCAGCAGTGAATTCTCTCTTTTCAATCAGTATCTGTTCAAGGTTTTGTACAGCTTCATGGACCGCCCCAGGGACTTCATCCCAGCCAATCGTTGACATCTTTGACATGAAATGCATTGAAGATCAATGATTTTAGGCATAAAAGGCAGACACCATTGAATTCCCAAGCAAATATACTTGTTCTTCCCAGGACAGGAGATCTGTTGGTAACCCACCAACTCGATCAAAGATCAAAGGGCATTCATCAGTTATAACAAAACCTCTTTATAGCATGAAGACATTCAACATTCCCTTCCAGCCCATTCCAGTTGTTTAAATCCAGCACTGTGGATAAAAATATCCAGTGATTTTTTTCTTCTTCTCACTTCACTGAGCAGGAGCTCAACGCTGCCCGCTTTACCTTAGACTCCCGCAGAACATCCACACACACCCACACTTACAAAGTCAAGCAAAGCAAGGGGTTTAATCCCTCAGGGTGTGATGGAGTGAGGCGAGGTAACTGCGCTTGAGGGCTGGCAATAGTTAATTTCATGTTGCTGAGAATCGACAGAGTCTACTCAGTTAGAGAGAAGCACTTTTCTAGGCAATACATAACAACATGTTATCAAAAGACACTCTAGCTATAATGAATTTGAGCTCTGCAGGGCTCAATCAATAGGCACCCCAATAGGTGCTTTATGATACAGTTCATTGTATGGTTGGTGCTCAAAAGCATTGCATTAAATCCACCATATAAAGAAAGCGTTCATGACATTTCACCAGCCAGCTCTTTTCTTCAGCAGGGAGTCATAGGTAGCACTAGCATCTGCTCCAAACATCAAAACAAACCACATAAAAGACAAAAAAATGTCATTCTTCCCAGTCTCTCAAGCAAAATGGATCATTACAGATCCATATTCTGCCATTTAGATCCAATACCTCCGTTTACCTCCATTAGAGGGCTCTGTGGAGGATCCAAGTAGCAGATGAGTCTAATTAAAGCTTCCAGCCTGCGTTGAAGTCAAAGGACTTGCACCACCATTCTAGATAGGATTACTGATGTTCTGTCCTTGGGGTCAAAATGTAGGTCAGGATAAGTACCTACAAAAAGTTCAGAATGTAACAAATTGGGGAAAAAGCTCCTGCTGCTGAGAGGCATTGAGACAATTTGTGCTATGGTCTGTGCTGAGAATGTCTGAGAAGAAGGTTGTGATGGCAAGGTTTGTGAAGCAATTTCTTCACAGCGAGGTGCATGCCATGTTTGACTAATAACATTATAGGTGGCTTGATTTTTCACACTGCTGTCAAATGCAAGTCATATAAGCACTCCTAAAAATGAATATTAACAGGTTACTCTTGCAGACCTGTTATTCCAAAGCTTTTTGGGAATAAGGCATGAGGTGAATTAATTTTTTTCCTTACCGAAATAAGATAATCTGGAGCCTGAAGGTATAAAGAGCATAAAGTATGTGAGTAATGTTCATTTTTTACTGTTCCATATGAAAAAAAAAATTAGGATGGCTGTATTATATAACATTTAAGATCGACTTTGTACCTTGCTAGATTTTTAGGCCTATGAAGGAATATGCTGTTAAGCAACTAGTTGTCAACTCAAACAGAGGTTTATCAAGCCAGTGGGAGATCAGATGAATTGTAAGATCTGATAATGTTTTGTTGTTCTGACAAGGGAGGGAGGGCAGGTCAATGAAAATGCTGCTCTCTGCTGTATGTCGTAAGACAATGCAGCTGAATTTTTTATAAATAAGTTCATTCCACATTCAGAATGATCTTTATTTAATAACACTAGGGGAGCTGCAAACATGAATGTGCTTAAATAAACCAAAAGGCATTCCCTGCATCGCTTTTAATTGCATCTAAGTAAATTTTAAAAACAATGTTTCTAAAGATAATCCTACAAAACGAAATGGCGTTTTCCGCAGCTACCACGCTACAGTTTCATGAACCAAAAAAAATAAATTTTAATGGGTGTATGTATTATGTGATGGAGAAAGACATGGACAAAAAGTATAAAACAAAAGATTGACAACTGGTGTGAAATCACAGTTAGCAGCAGACTTCATGCATCCATGCAGTTGTCAGTATAAAGTCAAAATATCTGGTATTACTGGAATGAATGAGAGCCAGCTGAACATAAACCAAAAAATAAACCTTAGTGCCTAATTTTTAGGCCATTTGTCTAAAGAAAAAACTGTTAGTGTGTATTTGTGTTTGGAAAAAGGTGAAGGTGCAGTTTCATTCAGCATGACCTTGAACTGGTGCCTCACCCTTGAGAACTCAGGAAGGTATTGATTCACTGAGACGCAGGTTTCAAATACTGTCGTGTGGCAGTGAAGTGATGACGGATACTGTTGTCAAGTAGATATTAAGATAGGCCATGGTGAGATGTAGGTAGAGATCATCTGATCATAGTGTAGCTTATACTCAAATACTTTCAGCACAGCAGACAATGACCAGACTTGCTATAAGGTCAGATAAATGTAGGGTTTAGTTTCAGTTGATGCTATAGAGGAACTCTGTAGTGTTTTTTTTTTTGTTTTTTTTGAGTGACCAAAGAATGAAAAAAAAAAGAGTAATGAGAACTTGTCAGAGATACATTTTGTGTACTGTAGGAGATAACTGCGTAGTTTTAGACTCCATATTAGCTTTTTATAGTCACCAATGCTTGAGTCTTGCACTATACAGGCTCTGATCTCTGAAAAACCCTATTTTATAAACGTATGAACATATTAGTAGTAGTAACTACCTAAAGTTGATTGTATGACACAACTGGTCATATGACATCACCATGGTGCTGCCCATGGGGGGGCGACAATGTTGATTAAAACCCAGTTTATTCTAGAAGACCGAAATAAATTCATATAATATTATATAAATTGTAGGGATGCACCCAGTATCGGGCCCAATACTGAGCTTCTGTACTCGTACTCGTACTCGTTAAAATGCCCCGATACCACACAGCATGTAAAAAGTGCCATATTCAAACAAAGAAACGCTGACAACAGAACAACAGACAGCAGAATGGAGTTATTAGAGATTAAGGATGTTTACGAAGTATATGTATGCAATGTCGGGCGAGTGCTAGAAAAAGTGGTATCGGTGCATCCCTAATAAATTGATTTATTGCTATAAAATCTAATATGACTTAATTGTTTTAATCACATTTCTCAAAAGCTGTTAATTTATTTTTGTAAAACTATTTTCATTAGCTATATACGTTTAAATATTATCAATAAATACCTTGAAATAATAATAATAATAATTTATATATATATATATATAGCATGAAATATTATATTTGCTATTTATTTTGTATGAAAATGTTACTATTCATTACTAAAAATGTATGTTTATATATTTATTCATATCAAACAATTTATTGCATAGAATTCAGTTTATAGAAATGTACTATTACATGCAGTGTGTTGATATATTGACTTTAGCCTTATTTGATTAATAAATTAATTAATTCCCAAAGTTACCTTTGTTGGCAATGGCATGTGGCATGTGCTTCCTGGTACGTCACTCGCTGTTGAGTTATGAGTATTTATGCATGTAGTTTCATGCAGACAGTCAGGTGCCACTGCTGATGCGCCTCCTGTCCTGCCAGCTGCACTTCACTCTCAGATGCTGCTGTTCATCCTGAAACACGAATGAAGCCATGCAAAAAGTGCTTTTTACTTTTTTTGAGCGCAGGAGAAGCAGACGATAAAACCAAACTAAACCAATTCATCTGTGTCCGTCCCATCAAAAGTTGGAATAGTTTTGAATTGGGTGAGAGATCAGCCGTGAAAGTCTCCTCTCAGTAGCAGCATGAGCTCTCCACCTCACAGTGCAGCGACAGAGCCTTCGTGGACTACTGGACCTTCAGAACTGGAGATGAGCGAAGCTCTGCACATGCGAAATGACAGTGTGCGGTTCGGAATGAGTTCCACGGCGTCTGCGGAGCCGGCAGTGATCACTCAACGCCACGCATCTCACCTCCATCCCCGCATGTCCGTGTACAGCGCCACCCGTCCCACACTCTCTAGATCCTTCTTTCAAGGACGTGTATATAATTTCTTGGAGAGACCATCGGGTTGGAAATGCTTTGTGTATCATTTTACAGTGTGAGTATTTAACTCTGATTGCTTTAGACAATGAGAAATAGTCTACAACATTAGTATATTTTCCTATTCAGAAATGTAGTTTCAAAATTCGTTTATTGTTGCAAGAGGCACTGCTTTTATTAAATGTTTGATGAGAGTAGTGTTGTGCGAGATGATTGTTCAAGGGCACTTTTCATTGAAGTTCATTGAAATAATCTTTCCTTCAGTGCAGCGCTCCAGCATACAGAAACTAAATTATCTTCCAAAACAATAAATAATAAATTTATTACAATTTATGTCATTTATTATTGAGTTCAACATAGTCACTGTTTTTCCCCCTTTTTTTCTGTGAAAGTTTTAAATATTCGACAATTGTTGAGATGATAAACTGCAAGTCCCTGTACCTCAAACAGCAAAGTATTATGTTGGCAACACTATGATTATGGGTCCTTATGCATGAATTGACACAAAGGTGTACTTTCAATTCAGTGTCATTTGCTTTAGATAAGAAGACAAAAAATGGCAAGTGGTCAAACAATGCAGCCATATTAATTAATCATGCCCTAGTGCATGCTCTGATGAGGGCAAATGGAAGTAAACCATTTTAATTTTCTCAAAACATGCATCAATCAACTAACCTATGATGCTTGTTGGTTTGACTTTAAAAAGTCAGGAAATGCAGTAAGAATTGTGGTGCAGGGGCTTGTGCACATGAAAAAGCATAAAAAAGCTGTCACGTCCTTATCCCAATCTTTTTGCTAAGCCTTTCATTCCTATATTCCTAAAACAAAAAATCTCATTATATTGTAATATAAAAGCTGCTTTGAGATAATTTTGGAATATTGAGTAAACAAAAAATGACTAAAACCAAGTACATTTTGGGCTGTCTAGTATTACTTGAGCTATAAGATCATTTTTAAAGTGTAATGAATAACCTGAAAGGATGCTTTGCAGCAGAATGTAGTCGTTTTGTAATTCTCAAAATGACTGGACTCATTGAACCTTTCATGGTCTATCTCTAGCAGGAGAGGAGGTGATAGCGGGCAGCTAAACTTGGCTGCAGAGGTGACTCTGTTCAGCAGGGGCCCTGTGGGTTTGGTAACCCTGTGACTCAGTGGTGTTGGGCAGAGATGCCAGGAGAACATGGGAATCTGACTGTGAGTGTGTAGCATCGCCATACAGAAGCTGTTAACGGCTTCACTAATCGTGGATCATTTGACTGATACTTGGTTTAATGCATTTGTAAGAATGATGAGCATGAGGCAGAGGGTTGGAGGTTAGTCTGTAATTAACTGGTGGCTTGTCATGTAGCACATGCGTTTTATTCAAAGTGATTTATGGTATACTAATATTGTGATGGTCCCTATAGAGGAAATTGAGGTTAATTGCATCGCTTAAGGGCACAACTGGGCTCTCTGGGCTCCTCAGTGCATAATTCATCCCCACTTGTTGCCTTACTAGCCCAGGGCCTTGAGCAGTAGTCGACCACCTGACCACACTGTTAGCTGCAACAGGAAATTGAAGAGTCTCGCCGGAATACGGAAGCATTCTTCTGTTGTGTGCGTGTAGGAGGCAGGGTATGTTAGCCAAGAATGTGCACAAGCTTATCACTGCTTCAAAGGCTGCAAAGTCATGGGGGAACGAAAGGCACTTATCAAAGTGTGACCCTTGTTTGTGTACATGTGAACATGCTGTTGGAAAAACTAGTAATTGTGTGCCATACAGTGTTATTGTTATCTGCCCAGCAGTATGTGAGTGAAATGTCCCTCGTAGGGGTGTGATGAGACACTTATCCCACGAGACGAGACACGAGACTGGGTTCACGAGAACAAGACGAGACGAGATTTTTAGACTTTTTTAAAGAAATACTCAATGATGAAATATATAGGGAAAAATAGTCTTTTATTCAACTGAAAAACACAAAATGCAAAAAAGTAGGTGCATTTTGAAATCAACTTGTACTTTATGAAATTAAACATCTATTTTAATAAATTTTATGCAGTAATAAACAACATGTAAACACTGCAAAATGTTTTGCCACAAACACAACTGACAGGCAAGTAATTGCACAAAAATTATAAATAGTATAAATAAAAATAAATAATAAACAACATAAATATCCCTTTAAAGTGGAAGTGAAGCAGTCAGTCAAGTCGAGTTTTTTTCCTAAATTCTGTTTTATTTTTTTCCAAATTCCGTTTTTTCCATTTTAATTTTTCTCGACTC